TCCTTCCTCTATCCCCACTCCCTGCCTCTCTGAGAGCTGCCAGTGCTGTGTCAGATGAGGAAGCAAAGATGAATAAATGAGAGGATGTGCAGGGGCAGAGCCCTTCCACAGGTGTCTGCTTACCTCATGCCTATCACAACCTGGAAGCTAGGCAACAATGATGATGGAGAATATGTACTGATCTCTTAATATGGGCCAGGCGCTCTTAAAAGTGCTTTTTATAGATTACGTGAGTACTGTGGTTGATTCCTATTTTACTATTGAGGAAGCAGAGGTGGAGAGAGAATTAGTCATTTACCCAAGGTACCAGGATTTGAATCCAGGTGTTCCTGACTCTTACCTACTTCCCAGGTAACAAAGGACTTGGTGTGTCTAGATAAACTATTGGATTTTATCCTGAAAATGGTTAAACTTAAAAAAAATTTCAAAACAGATTTGGTAATGGTCATATATCTTTGAGAAAGAATGGCCATAGATGAATAATTAAGAGGGCTTTAGAGACAGGGGGACCAGTCTGGAGGCTGTGGTGATAATCAAGGAATGACTCCCAAAGGCTCCTGTACTAAAGCAGTGGCAGGAGGTAGGGCAGAGGAAACAGACCTGGAGATGCTGGAGGTAGAATGAGGCTTGTTAGGTGGGGTGGGTAAAAGGCAGATGTTTAGGATCGCTCCCAGACTTCCGACTTGGGCAGCTGCATAGATAGATGGACCACCAACTGGAAAGAGATCCCGGGAGGGTGGGCGCAGATTTAAGGGCACTTGGAGGGAGATTACTGGGTTCTGTTTGGTACATGTTGAGTTCAAAGTACCCAGAAGACATTTGGATGAAAATACCACCCCCACTCCCCACCCTAAAGGGTCTGAGCTGGAGATCAGACTTGAAAATTACCATTCTTAAATTCAGGAACTAAATATATTGTAGTTTAAGAGGTCATCCAGCAAAACTGTGGTAAGTGATAAAATAATGAGGCCAAGGATGTAGTCCTTACAGGCCATGCTTACCGGCAAGCAGTGGGAGAAGACCCAGCTAAGGGGACTGGGAGGGAATGGTCAGAGCAATGGGAGGGAAGAAGAAAGTAACACGCCTGGAGAACAACTGAAGGTTATTACCAGAAGGGAGTGGTTTACTGTGTGTATTCGTCTGCTTTCAGGCTGCTGATAAAGACATACTTGAGGCTGGGTAATTTGCAAAGAAAAAGAGGTTTAATGGACTCACAGTTCCACATGGCTGGGGAGGCCTCACAGTCCTGGTGGAAGGTGAAAGGCGCATCTTACTTGGCGGCAGGCAAGTGAGAATGAGAGAGCCAAGCAAAAGGGAAACCCCTTATAAAACCATCAGATCTCGTGAGACTGATTCACTACCATGAGAACAGTATGGGGGAAACTGACACCATGATTCAATTATCTCCCACCGGGTCCCTCCTACAACACATGGGAGTTATGGAAGCTACAATTCAAGATAACATTTGAGTGGGGACACAGACAAGCCATATTACTTTGTCAAATGTCAAGGTCTAGTGGAGGGAGAAATATGTCCATTGAATTTGGCTATTTTGAGAATTTTTGCCAGAACTTTGCCAAAATACTCTCAGTGGCATGGGAAGGAAGAGATTGCCCTGCAGGGGCTTTCCGTGGAACAGAATCACAGCTCTGTGGACCCAAGTCTCTGGTTTGGGGCTCAGAAAGCAGCCACTGCCTGCTCTAATGCACCCTGCTCCTCTGAAACCCTCAGTTCCCACACTCCGGACCCCACTTTACTTCTCAGTTGGTTTCTTCAGCATCCATCAATGTGTTGGAGCCTCCTGCAAACATTCCTCTTTCTAAAGTATTCTGACCTCACACTTACCAACTTGTGGTGAACACAGAAAATCCATGCCCTTTATTAGATTCAAGGAGAGCTGAGTTCAAACCTGGACTTTGCCCTCGATAACTGTGTACAGGAGTGACCTAACCAGTGTGTAAAATGGGTTAATAAGACTTCTGTTGCAGGGCTGATTTGAGGAGTTAATGAGATAGCCCAGAGGGAAATTGCCTCCCTTCTAATAGGCCCAAGAAATGTTGTTTTCCTATAACTTAAATTCTCTCCAGGCTCTGAGAATGTTTATAGCCCAGGGAAGTAGAGCCTGGGTTTATCTAACCTTTTCTTAGAGGGAATTTTATGGGGGTGAAGGAGGAGAGGACATCAGGCTAATGGGAGCTTGCAGAGTTAGAAAGGAGTCACCGAAAACAAATATTTCCATTGGTTTTATGTCCGGCAGTCCTGCCTCATCCCAGCAGCTGTCTGCTGAGTGACGGGCAGTTCCACTCATTCCTCAGTCTCCCAAAGTGCTGTTCTGACTCTAGAAGAGGATGCAGTGGACAACCCAGGGCTCACCGTGCCCTTTACCATCTCAGAGCATGGCGGCCAGACTACCCATGGCCAGAGTTCCCTGTTGCTCCTGTGGTTCTAAACCACGGGCGGTTTTGCCCCACTGGGAGTACTAGGCAATGTCTGGAGACATCCTTGATTGTTACAACCCCTGACGATCAGCCGTGAAGGAGGGAGAGCTATTAGCACCTATCAGGTAGAAGTCAGGGCTGCTGCTAAGCCTTCTGCAATTTACAAGACAGCTACCATAACAAAGAATCATCGGCTCAAAATGTTAATAGTACTGAGGCTGACAAGCCTCCTGGGCCGTGTTAAGATCCAGTTGTCCAAGTGGCCACTACCTTGATGAGACTCCCTTTGGCGGCCTCCTTCCCTTCCCAGTCTCATTTCTCCACTCCTCTACTAGGATCTCCTGGGATTCCTCCCAACTGAGCCATTGCACTCAAATCCTTGTCTCAGGGTGTGCTTCTTGGGGACCCCCAAATAAGACATGCATTAAGCTACCTCTAGTCTGAGTAAGGAGGAATTTATTCCTATACCCACTAGTAGAGGCACTCTCCACCAAAAGGAAAAAATATGCTTTTTCCATATTTACAAATCAAAGGTACAAGTCCAGATGACTATAACACAAACAGTAACCTCTCAAGACACACTATAGAGAACGCTAAAAAGAGCAGGGATGGATTGGACAGAATCAATCTCAGCGTGTGTCCTTGAGGTGAGTTTGAAGCTAGGCTCAAAGCAAGGAGTGGGGCAAATTGGCAGCAAGAAGGAGAAAGGGGTTTTGGAGAAGATTCAGCCCAGATTCCAACCCCAGGCTGCAACGCCCTGGGCTTCTTTCCCTTCCAAGGCAAGGTTCACAGGGCACCATGGGAACTGTAAAAACAAGTCTGGAGCATTGCAGGGAGTGCATGGGGCCCAGAGTGTCCTCCTCCCTGTGCACTTCCTCTTTGTGGGAGGGAACAAAATGGCTGCAAATGTCTCCAATGTGAAGGGAAATTTTTGTCTGTGTCACGGCCAGGGGATTACATCTGCCTACAGTTACAGGATGTATCACTTGCAGAGAATTCCTTCCACAACATACTCAAAGAACCAAAAAATTAAAAAAAAAAAGTATTAAATAGCTGGTTATATTTGATCTATATTTTTCATTCTTTTTTCTTTCTCTCCTGTGGTTTTTCACCAAAGTCCACTTTGACAGGCCATTAAAAGAAAACCCTATGTACATGAGCAATAGATGTAAAAAGAAAAAAACCTAGTCTATCGAACAACCCAACATATACAATTTGGAAGAAGTAACCGGATCCTCTGCTCTGGCAGCCTGTAAACTGGGCTAGGGAGGGACATTGTTTTTCTTTTGGTCACTCTGCCAAGTTAAAAAGGAAGTTGGAGATTAGAACAAAATATTTAAATCAAAAATGAATCCTTCAATGAAAGTTGCTTGATCCCCTTCACTACCACCCCTAGCTTCCCTTCCCCCTTATTGGAAGCATATTTCTCTTTGAAAAGAAGTAGTGTATTGTTGCTGAATAGAAGGGGGACAGCCCACTGGGGAGAAACATCGATCTCATCATTTTAAAAGTGAGAGATAAATGACCGAAGGCTTCTTCCCAATCAAATGCTGTTTCTGCACATTCTCAGAATAAATGGCACTGTTTTCCCTAGTGAGTGCTGAGCTCTCTCCCCTCGGCTGGGTTTGCCTATGCTAACCATACATTCCAGACCCTGGAACAAGGGTCACTGCAACTAAAATGGACGTATCTGCGATGCCACGGCACTGAATTGTTCTTTGAAACCCAAACAAGATCTTGACTCTTCCTAATGGCCCTGCATTAAGATTCAGTACTTTGATTTTTTGAAATCTCCCTCAAATTTATGATGAGATGGGTAGACAGTATAGGTTCCACAAGTACTGTTGCAGGAAAAGGTTCAAGAAGGAAGTAAGGAACAGAGTCACACCTGATATCCAAAGATCTCCTCCAGCCTGGGGACCTGCTAGTCTCTCCTCAATAGGATTCCCTTTGGCCTTTAAAGTGGCACAGGTAAATGTGGCCCTTTTGGTGCTGAGCCCACTTAATGCACATGTAAAAGAACCGTGCAAAACAAATATTGCGGTGGGGCTTTTGGACACATTTTATTTCCAAGAATGATTTTATGAAATGTGCTATCATCTTCATAACTGGCCTCCTTCTACATGCTTCAGTTCTCATCCCCAAGATTCTATTTTCTTATAAAACTAATTTATTTATAACTTTTCAACATCCCAAATAAATGTTGGTAATGTAGCTCCCTAATACAAATCACACCTATAATAAATTAACAACAGTCATCCAAGATATGAGAACAAGGATACATTAATGGCATTAATAATACAAAAACATGTAAGAATGAGTTGTATTACACAATGGATTTTATAATAAACATTTGCAAATAATATGTATTTTGATAGTGAATAATTATATAGAACCCATATGTATCCTGTTTTTTCCCCCAATCTCTCTGGCTTCACCATCCCCCACTGTCGGTACTAAATATTTTAGAAGGAAGTTTTAAAGCAGAAAAATAGCATCATCTCAAATGATCCTTGAAAGGCCTACAAAGGGCACCTACTGTCCTTGGTGCACTTTGCTTACCTACAGCATGTCTCCAGCAGAAGGAAGCATTCAGTTTCATCTGGTATCTGTATGTGTGTGTGTATTTTTCCTCATCTTTTTAAATGAACTATTAGAAATGAAAACAAAAAAGAGAGTTATTCTCCAAGACACTTTTCCTCGGAACCTCTCTTTTGTTCTTGGACATAAACCCCATCACCCCCCTAACCCCTAGAGAAGCTGCAGGTCTCCATAGCATTGCTAGTTTGACAGAGTTCTTGATGGCACCCATTCAAAAAATGCGTATTGAACTCAGATGTGTCCCAGGGACTGAGCTAGATACTTTGTCCAGCCTTTTCATTTAATCCTCTTAACACTTTGTCCTCAGGGGTTATAATTCACTTTATTTAGCACAGGAAGAAGCTGAGGCTCAGAATAATCAAGCAACTTGCTCAAGGTCCCTGGGGAACTAAACGACTTCATTCGTTCAGTCTTTGCTGAAGCTCGTCCTGCCCAGAAGCCCTCCCTGCCACCTGGCCTCCAGAGGCTGCCTATTAGGTTGATGGGGTCCTCTTCTCTCAGGCCAGAATCCTCATGATCCTCTTCACAAGGGCTTTCTCTTTCATGCCTCATTCCCAGTTGTTACCATCTCATACCTGCCTGGCTGCAACAGGCTCTCTGGTCTAATTTGATTGCCTGCTTGACTGTACATCTCCGCCTCTAATCCACTGGAGCCCGCCCACTGCCAGTTTACTACTCCAGAGACGCTGCCTGGATCCCACCAGCTTCGCGAGAGTCTTGCTCCACCACAAACTAGCTGACCGAGTCTGGGAAAGTCATTAAAACTCCCTGGCAGTTTCTTTGCAATTATAATATGCACAATAATTTCAGCTTATCTCTGAAAGAAAACCAAAATGAAGACTGAATGAGACTCAGAAAGTGGGCTTTGGGGAACATAATTCCCATGCCAGGTGTCATCTTCAAAATGCCCCTGAAATGCACATTTTCATCCAAACTTGCTCAAAATATGGTGTTTCTGGATCTGAACCCAATGCAAATTTTTTCTCCAAAATTTACTCCTCTGCCCACAAAGAATGAAAGTTGGTCATTCAATTTTTCCCTGCAAAACCTGAGTTCATAGTTTGTGTTCCAGAAGGTATGGCCAAGAACTATATTCAACATATTTCTGTATTTCTCATTTATGAAATCACTAATAAGGAAATTTCAATAAGCCCTCTTATTTTCAATATCCAAACATCATATTTAATTAATCCAATCCTAGTTTTCTGGGTTAAGTGATATTGACTAAGGTAGGCTAAAAGAAAAATATAACATTTTGGAAATATAAATTATTGGAAATCCTGGAACTCAGACACCTGGTTCAGATCAAAATAAGTACTAGTCTTCACTGCCTTCCCTTTACCATGAAACCAAAAGCCCCACTTCTTCGCCTGACTTGCACAGAACATTCCCAGCCTCAGCCTATCTTGCCCACCTAAACTTCCTTTTTCCCACATGAGCCATTTGCTCTAGACACTGGATTATTCGATGTCTTCTAAAAGCTTCTTCAGTTTACTTCCTCTGCATTTTCCCTCAGGCCTTTTCCCTGCACCCAAATGCCTCCCGACTCCCACTGATTTAGTTGGCCAAATCCAACTAGCTCAAATCTCCACTTCTTCCATGAAATCTGTCCTGAACACACCCATCTAACAGATTTCTCCTTCCTCTGAGCCCCTGTGGCAGAGGAAGCTCATGTGCTTACTCACCTAGTGTTGCCTTCTGCTACTTTGCCCAGTGTCATCCTGAACTTTCATTAAACATCTTGCTTTGTCATATTTTAATGTTGGGCACCCCATTCTGTCTTTATACCCTAGAGCTAGCTACACACACAGTAGCCACTCATTAAAAACTTGATGCTTAGATTTTACCCACACGCTTGCAAATGACTATCCTCAAAAGAAATATTTCTGATGCATAAAGCAAGGGAATTGTAGAAATTCACCCCCATCAAATATTTTTTGGCTAAAAAAAAAGGAGAGTATCTTTGCAGAGTCTCAACAGAACTGTGCATGTGAATGTGTGTTTGGGGTACAGAAGTAGAGAGAAGCTTGTTAATTTTAAAGCCACATAGCATGTTTGGCTAAGACTGTGACTCCATTTGTGTATTTCAACCACGTAAAATACACCCTGGGATTCTGGACTGAGAAAAATAGCCATATAAGGAGAAAACAAGGCATTCCCTATAGCTGCTCTTGTAAAACACTCTATGATTTAACCCTCTGCTCGGACAGATCCAAGCTCCTGCACTTTACGACTGCAAACGATCAAATTCCTGGGAGGAGCCCAGCGTGTGACCTGCACCACTGGGCACAAACAGTCACAAACAAAACCTGACAGGTCACCTACGGGGCAGCATGACCAAAGCTTTGCAGCCGCCTGCCTTTCTCTCCGAGGTGGGCCGTCCCAGCCAGAGCAGGCACCGGGATGAGCTCCAGCCCCGAGACAACTCTGAGGGCTCATTAATCCCTTTCCTTCAAGAACTCAGGGATCTGGGGTCTGCCTCCACCTTCTGGATGACAATCCATCAGTCTACAGAATCCCTTCACTGGGGAGAGGCAGGAAGGAGAAATGGAGGGATCAGGATAAGGAAAGAGGGGCTCCAGGAACAGAGGCAGGACTGGGCAAAGTGTTGGCCAGCCTCCAACATGGTGCCTGTGGCTCTGTGGTGGAGTGTGTGTCTGGCTAGGGGCCTCTGTGCTATGCAGAAGAGGAACTGTAGAGTGAGGGGCTAACAGGGCACCCAGCTGGACCTTATCTTCTCTCCCTTCATCTTGATTGCCATTAATAACAACTCTGTGAGGTGCAGTTTTCTAGATGATAAAACTTAGATTCTGAAAGGTTCCAGTGTCCCTCACATGTAATAAGTAGGTGATGATTAGAAATAAATTTGTATGCTGTGGCAGACACTGCTCATTTTCTTCTGTCATCCAGTCCAATCTCCTTACTACTGACAATAGAATCAACACACCTCCCCTCACCTCCTCCCTGCCTTACACACACACACACAGGAGCAAGGAAGATGGCTGCCTGGCTGGAGATGGTACTTCCCAGACATCCACATAGCTCAGGGGGGCCATATGACTGATTTCCAAGGACAGGGACATGAGTGGGAGTAATGTGTGCAAATTCTGGGTCACATCTTTTTAAAGCAGCTGCTTGCCCTTCCCATGGGTTGGAACGCAGACATAAGAATGAGGAAGAGGGCAACATGAGGGGCTCCTGGAGCAACACAATAGAAGGAAGCTGGGTGATCTTACGGAACAGTGCCACCTACCTGCCTGGGGCTACGGACCTGCAGGAAACCTAGACTCTTCCGGGGGTAGAAATAATCAGCCTCCTCTGAGCCACTGTATTCTCCCCTGTCTTTGTGACAGCCATTTAGCCTGCATCCTAACTAACGCATGTAACTTTCTGCTGTCTCAGCTGTGTGCAAGGAATCTTGAGGTCACACTAGCTTGCACTAACTTAAAAAGCAGAAGGAAAAAATCGTAGCCAAGTTACATAACAGCACTCACATGCCAAAATCACCCCCTCCCTGAGTCAAGGCTGGAATAGGGGCCTCAGCCACAAGAGGGAGTCCTGTACAGGTGACAGCGAAGGTCAGAGAATCCTGCTCCCTCCTCCCCATAGGAGTTTACTATGGAAAGTTTGCCTAAGAAGGGCCCTACACCTCATTGAGCTGGAACCAGAAGCACTATTTGGACAACTGTCATTATCATTCCTAAAATGATTTATTGAAAAGTCTTCACCACTAATTTTTAAAGTCAGCTGTACTTCCCTGAGACAGATGTGTTAAAACTTCTACTATGATTGTAATTTGACAGTTCCTCTTGGGACTTCAAGTTTTGCTTTTTATTTGAGACTATCATATTATATAGGTACTAGAATTGTTACATTTTAATAATAATCTTTATGAATAATCATGAATTTTGCCCTTCAGTTTGGCATAAATATAACTATATTCAGCTTTTTTTTTTTTTTTGCCTGATAGGTCTTTTCTATTTTTTTTTTCTGTTTTTGTTCTTTTCTTTGCCCTTTTTCTCTTATAAAACCACATAGATTTTTATTTTTTCATCCAAGTTAAGGATCTCTGTGTTTTAACAGATACATTTAGTTCATTTACATTTATTTAGGGTTTATTTCTGCCACTTTAGTTTGGGTTTTGTATTTACCTTGCTATATATGATCTTTGCTTTCTTTTTTCCAAATTTTTAGGGGAATTGATTCCATTTTCTTTATTTCCTCTTTTCCTGTTCTACTGATTTGGTAATTATCAGTCTTACTTGTATTTCTGTATATACATACAGACTTTTTAGATGTTATCCTTACATTTTTAATACACCTTGACTTTGAAAAGTACAAAGTGTCATCTCTACTCACCTCTCAATCTTCAGAGCTCCAAACACTCTCTAACCCATTTTATCTACTATTGTTGTCAAATATCTCATTTTCACTTTGATGCCCTGAAAATCTGTCAATAATATTAACTTCTATGGACAAATGTTTGTTTAACTTCCCCTCTTAGAGCTCATCCCTTCCTTTTTAGTTCAATTTTCTTCTACTTGAAATAAACACCTTAGCAATTACTTTACAAGAGTTTTTGGTGACCAAACCAAATAAAAGCTTAATTTTGTATGTGTTGTTGACTAATAGTTTAGCTGGATATATAATTGCAAACGGACAGTGATTTTTCTTAGTGCTTTGGGTATGTTATCTTACTAACTTTTGGTTTCTGTTGTTGCTGTTAAGAAATCTGCTGCCTGTCTAACTATATTTCTTACCAAAAAAAAATCTTAATTGTTTTAAGAACTTTTTGGCATCAGTATTTTGCAATTTCATTATAGTGGACTTGACGTTTGAATTCACACTTACTTATTCAGCTCATGGCTTATTTTACTTTCTGAATCTCATGATATTTATCTTTTGGTCATTGTAAAAAAATTCTCAGTCCTTTTTCTCTCGAATATTTCTTCTTCATTTTCTATTTCTTCTTCTAAACACTTATTCTTTCCCATTCTTCCTTCCATATCTTTAGTCACTCCCTCACATGTTTATGTTTTTGTGATGCATTCTGAATTGGAATTAGATCTCTTCCAGTTTACCACTTTTTCCTTTAACCATGTCTAATCCATTAAAATTGATGACCACGTTTATTACTTCTAGAAGTTTTGTTTCTTTTTCAAATCTTTTTTTTCATGGTACCTTATATATTTGTCATTATTTATTATGTTTTCAATTCCTAATTTTATGCCTTGAATCACTTTAAACACACTTATAGTCTTTATGTAATACATATATTATCTGAAGTGACTGGGGATCTGATCTTGATGTGTATTCTATCCATTGGCTCTCTCTCATGGGGAATCATTTCCTAATATACTTCATACTTTTGGAAGCTGAGATCATCTTCAGTGGAACTTTATTCAGGGGGTCTTGTGTAGGCTGGGTTGAGTATGTGACCTATTAGAGAGTTTTGTGCTTGGTTCACGACTGCATGGCATCATGCCTAAAATCACATTTATTCATCTATTTATTTTCAATTGACATGCTAATTGTACATATTTATTGGGTACTCAGTGGCATTTTGATATATGTAATGATCAATTCAGGGTAAATAGAATATTCGTCACCTCAAACACATCATTCTGTGTGTTGGAAACATTCAAAATCCTCTCTTCTAGCTATTTGAAAATATATAATAAATTATTGTTAACTAGGGTTATCCTACAATGCTATATAGATCATTAGAACTTATTCTATCTAGCTATAATTTTCTATCTGTAACCATCCTTACCTCCCCATCCCCCATCCTAGAATCCCACTCTTTACTTCTATGAGTACAACTTTTTCAGCCCCCACAAATGAGAACGCGCAGTATTTGTCTTTCTGTGCCTGACTTATTTCACTTAACATGAGGTCCCCCAGGCTCATCCATGTTGCTGTGAATGACAGGATTTCATTCTTTTTTATGGCTGAATAGTATAGAATCACATTTTCATGTCAATATCTCATCTCAGATATTCCTAGACCACATCTGTAGTGTAAATTCAAACCTCAAACCCAAGTAAGGCATTGGATTCTTGGTTCAGAATTCGTGATTGACAGTTGAGAGGCATTTTTTTTGTGCTGATTAAAATAGAGAAATTTATTTTTTGTCTCCCTGTGCTGATGGCTTTCTTGGCCTGTTCTTGGGTCATCGTGGAAACCACAAAATGTAGGTCTCAGCATTCACAAATACTTGCCTTTCAATTCATGTTCCCAAGACAACTAACGTAGTTTCAGTGTCTTCCTCCCCTTGGGTGAGGAATCCGTGTCCAATGTAGCCAGCTATAGACAGAGACAAGGTCTCATAGTACTTAGGGAACTTCCTGTTGGTCTATGGAGAGAGAACTTTTTGGCAAAAGGGCCTAGAGGAAGAGAAGAAATGATCATTAGAGGAAATAATTAGTATCTCTGCAACGAATAACTTTTCTTCAACACTTCTCTTGTATGGAGCTATGCCATCAATGATTGTGTAGCCCCAGCTGTGGGCACAAAATTATTATTATTACTATTATTATTATTATTATTTTGAGATGGAGTCTCACTCTGTAGCCCTGGCTGGAGTGCAGTGGCATGATCTTGGCTCACTGTACCCTCTGCCTCTGGGTCCTGCTTCAAGCAATTCTCCTACTTCAGCCTTCCAAGTAGCTGGCATTACAGGCACGTGCCACCATGCCCAGCTAAGTTTTGTATTTTTAGTAGAGACGGGGTTTCACCATGTTGGCCAGGCTGGCCTGAAACTCATGACCTCGTAATCTGCCCACCTTGGCCTCCCAAAGTGCTGGGATTACAAGCGTGAGCCACCGCACCTGGTTAGCACAAAATTATTAAAGGTAAGAGTCAGCTGTTGTAACCAGGGAAGGTGTTGATAGTGTTTCACAGGAAACATCAAGGTGAGCATGTTTCTGCATAGCGGTAAAATTTATTTTCAACTCTGATCAAATTTGGAGGTTACTCTTTCACACAATACCTAGCCCAGTGACTGACATACTGGATATTGAATAAATATTTGTTGGAACAAATATCAATCCCCTCCTCTAATCTTTAGCAAGGGGAGAATGAAACACACAGAAGCCGCAGGGAGAAAATGTTCAGAGAAACAGAAAGCTACAAGGCCATGCCGAAAGAAAGGTAAATCCCTGAGAAATAAGTAACTAGAAGCAGGCAGTAAGCAAAGAATTCTGGAGGAAAGTAATCTTTTTTAGAAATCATCATAAAGGCTTGGAACTTGGAATGGATTTTGAATTAGCCCACATACCAAGATGGAGAACGTTCCTCAGTTCATAAATAAGAGCCCGTCACAGGTGGTGACATTCCCCACAGACCATATGGCAGGAAGTAATCTGTGAACTTGGGTGTTAAATTAAGAGAAAGTGCACACCACAAGAAAGAAGACAATTCTCTTAGGCATAACTGCATAAGGGACTTAGGGGGCAGAACCGAAATTTTTTAAAGGGATCCACTGTGTTTTTTACAAATAATAATGCCCATGTTAATTATGTATTAACATATATGTAATTCAAATCCTCCTGTAGATTCTTTCTTCATATGTTCTTTTTGTTTTTAAGACCCAATTTGAAGGATCTCTCCAAATGCTATTATAAATAGATATCTGGATTAACTGAGAGCTGCCGTCAAAACCTGGGAGCTGAGAAAACAGTTCCATTACAAAATGCTGCCTTATCTAAGTTTTCCTTTTATTCTCAGTGTATAATTCATTCGATTCAGCCTACAAATGAGTCGCCAAAGATCTTAGGGGTAGCCATGTGGTAGAAAGATGGGGGCTGGCAGACTCAATTTGAAACTGTCTTTGTATATCAAGTGTACTATGTTTCTTCTCAATTGTGTATTTATTAAGTTTGGCTTGGGGATAGGAGAGGATAGACCCCACTCTCCAAGTTAACTCTTGGGTCCACAAAATTTGAAAACTAAAGGAGGACTCCACATGTAAAAACTCTGGAGAGTAACGCCCACAGCATGAAAATGATGATTGTAGTGCCAACCTAAGATCCAGGGAAACTTTGATAGGTAAAGTCTCAGGCTATTTTAGCTCTTTAAAACACTCAAGCCACCTGTCCCCCAAGATTGGGGCAGTGGTGAGAATACTGGCCCCTTGTCCATTCTGTTGGACAGAACTCACAACAGGAGGCTTCCTTGAGGAGTTCAAGAGAACTCAACTATGTCAAACACACTGAAACGTCTAATACCAATAATAGCCTCCACATTGAACCTTGGTTGCATTCCCAACAGTGGCTCCTGCAGTTGTTCTCAGCTGAAATCGTATTACTGTGGAAAAAATGTGTGAGATCTCCCTTCCCACAATCAGCTAAAAAGGGCAGTTTACCACCCGTTGAAAATGCCATCTCACCAGCCTACAGGTGGTGTTATTCAACCACAAGAATGTGCAGAATGTGTCAAATGTGTGTGTCAAATGTGTGTCAAATTAGGTGGCCTCCCTCCTGAAACCATTAAATCTTTGCATCTCTTTGTAAGAAAGGCTGATAGACGCTGATGGTGGGAACTCCAATGCAAGAGAAGCCACGCGTCTTGCTACGGAAACAAGAAGGGCTCTGCAGCGACACAAAGCCAGTGACTGAACCTAGCCCCTGTCAGTGCATGTTGCAGCTTCCTTTCCCCAGCTAATTCTTTCTGGAAATGATACCAGGTGGCATGTTTTCTCTCTTCCAGCATTCCTGAAAATATGTAAGATATGAGATAAGCACTTGATCTTCAAACTTATATTAAGAAGCTTAGGTGAAAACATTCTGTTGTGCACATATGAAGCATGCAGAACTCTGGGGCAGCCTCAGGCTGGAAGACACCATTCTGCTCCCCTCCTCCCTTGAGCTCCCTGTGTGGGCACTACTGACAACCAGGAGGCACACCTGCCCTTGGGGCCCCGCCCCATGGTCTTAGCACAGGATGTTGGGAGAACCCAATTTCCTGAGCCTCTGTCCTCAGTTTCCTCTCAGGGAGACTGTGGGAGGTTAATACAGTAACACAGCGCTGCCCAACCTTTTTGGCACCAGGGACAATTTTTTATGTAAGACAAATTTTTCCACGGACAAGGGGTGGAGAGTAGGGGGATGGTTTCAGGATGGTTCAAGCACATTAGATTTATTGTGCTAGGTTTCTATTATTGTTGCATTGTAATGTATAAGGAAATAATTATACAACTCATGATAGTGTAGAATCAGTGGGAGCCCTGAACTTGTTTTCTTGAAACTAGGTGGTCCCATCTGGGGTGATGTGAGACAGTGACAGACCATCAGGCATTAGATTAGCATAAGGAACACAACCCAGATCCCTCCCATGTGCAGTTCACAATAAGGCTCGCACTCCCATGAGAATCTAATGGCTCTGCTGTTCTGATAGGGGGTGGAGCTCAGACCTTGGTGTGAGTGATGAGGAGTGGCTGTAAATACAGATGAAGCTTCCATCGCTCTCCTACCACTCACCTCCTGCTGTGCAGTCCAATTCCTAATAGGCCACAAACTGGTACCAGTCCATGGCCCAGGGGTTGGGGACCCCTGCAATAGCACATACAAAGCAGCACTACAGACACATTCTAGAGCCTTCCTTGCTTCCATGACTCTGTGGTATTGAGGTGATGCCTGCTTGTGGTTTTCTTCTAACCCTGCACAGTGGACACTGGTGTTTCTGTTTGTCCCGCTCCAGTTCCCTCAATCCTCTTCTGGAAAACTCTCTTCCCTGGCTCCTAGTTTGGGTGCCCTCCTCTGGTCAGCAGATGAGAACATGACCCATGCTAGACCAGCTAGAATTGCCCTTCTGAGAATGTGGATCTTGCAGAGGAGCTGTACTAGGGCAGAAGACTTTTAGAGCTCACTAAACCTGGAATCCAGGCCCTGAAGAGCCTGCCATTTGTCCCTGTTTTGCCACATCCCTACAGCTTCCTTGATTCTCACCCCTTCCTCAGGTTCTAGGAGCTAATCCTCATCCTTACAGTAAGTTCTCTGTTGGCCAGGCATGGTGGCTCATGCCTGAAATCCCAGCACTTTGGGAGGCCTAGAAGGGAGGATCACTCGAGCCCAGGAATTTGGGGCTGCTATGAGCTATGATGGTGCCACTGCACTCCAGCCTGGGCAATACAGCAAGACCCTGTCTGTAAAAAACAAACAAAAAAGTCTTTGTCTGCTCCTTGCAGCCAACCTGGATATCTGTGCCTTACAATAATGTGTCTTGTCCCCACTTCCCTGTACAGGTGAGAAAGTACTCCCAGGTCAGGGAAACTAATGTGGAGGTAGGATGAGAAGCGGGATCCCAGACTGGCCACCTATGCCCCCCAGTGCCCTCCCCGAACTCTCTTTTTGGCCTCTCGCCCACAGCCAGTGGCCCTTCTCCTCCCTGCCAGTCCTCCACATTGCTCTCTCATGTTCCACGTCATCCAAGCTTGCAAACCATCATCTATTTCAACTCTTGTCTCTTTTTTTTCCCCTCAGGTATCAGGCTGTTTTCATAAATCTTTCATTTTAAAATAAACCTTGGTGTCTCACTCACCACAACATTTCTAAAATGCATTCCTCTGCCAATGTGCTCATTCCAGAGCAGGGCCCTTCCCGCTTGAATGTTGGCAGCATCCTGCCCTGTTGGCTTCCTCTCCTGTCACCCTCCTGTCTCCCAGAGAGAAAATGAGGTTTGGATTTGGGTGGGTTGAAAGCCCATCCGTGCATGCCATGCATAACATTCCCTTCCTCGGCACGGATGCATTCCTAGACAAAAAGGCCTTTGAACATGTTGCTCTCAGGGCCTGTTTGGCACCATTTGGCGAGCTGAGCAGCACTGGCTATGCTCCCCTGCTGGAGAGTAAGCAGTGGGAACTGAGGAGGGGCGAGCTTGGTCCCTGCCCTGCTCTGGGGGCTGCTTGTACAGATGGATCCTGGGGGCTGCCGCAACCCACAGAGCCCTGGGGTGGAGGGCGTGCTCATGGACCATGCTGTACAGTAGCTAGCCCACCTCAACACGTACCTTCTAGTGGAGCCTCATCAACAATGGCCCTGTTTGGCAGCCAGGGAATCATATCCACCCCTCAGGAAGTGGTTATATGTTATAATTCAGTGTACCTCTTGCAGCTGGGAAACACATTCTCTGGGCTGTCCTCAGGGGCCCATAAGGAATTCACACCTGTGATTAGCTTAACTGGCCACTCGATTTCCCCAAAGCCCTGTACACATCCAACTGAGGGAGCAGCTCCCTGACCATGACAACTTGGTTTTTCAGAGAGAAATCAGGGTGCTACATAGTCAGGTAATTTGGCATATCACAGTAAACACTGTGACTCTAGTCTGGCTAGATGACTGCCATTGTCTACAGTGACAAGTGGATCTGCTGGTCCACGTATATGCAA